TTCCTAGGGGCTGGGGATATAGATCAGTTGGTAGAGTGCTTGCCTTCCATGCACAAGGACCTGGGTTCAAACCCCAGCACCACAATAGATAGATAGGTAAGTAGATAGACAGATAGATGGTTAGATGGATAGATAGATAGATTCTCTAGAAGTTCCTAGAAGGTGGGTGTGTTGGTGTATGCCTGTAATCCCAGTGACTAGCGAGGCTGAGGCAGGAGTATCGCAAGTTCAAAGGCATCCTCAGCAAAAACAAGGCACTAAGCAACTCAGATCCTGTCTCTAAATAAAATACAAAATAGAACTGGGAATGTGGTTCAGTAGTTGAACCTGGTTACCTGCCCCCGCTCAAAACAAAACAAGGGCTGGGGCTCAGCGGTAGCACACTTGCCTGGCATGTGTGAGGCACCAGGTTTGATTCTCAGCACCACATATAAATAAATAAATAAATAAATAAATAGATAAATAAATAAATGTTTATAAACAAGTTTAAAAAAAAAACATTAAAAAAATTAACAACAAAAAAAAACAGAAGTTCCTAGAGAAGTTAACTTTTTTTTAGGTTTATAGAGATTATATATTGAAATTCAACATTTATTAAACAAGTACTCAATGCAAGTCATCTTTCCCTTCCCATACAACTCAGTTCAGTCGGTCAGCAGGTACAAAGTATTTACAAAAGATGGAGAACTTGATGAGGTGTAATGGCTAGTCGCACAGAAAATAGATAGGACACCTACTTTCCAGGAGCTTACTGTTAAGATGGACTAGTATGCAATAAACCAGCTCTTCAGAATAAAAACCAAAAACCTTGAATTGTAGTGCTTGTGAGCTTCTGTGGTATTTGTATTCCCAACATTGCTGATCTCAAACTACTACCAACTTGAGATGTCACTACTCAGAGTTGAGATGAGAAACACATAGTTGGTTCTCAGGAGCTGGTAGAGCTGGTTGTAGCACATCAATCAGTGAATAACACATATTAAGAAAACTTGCAAGTGGAGTATGGTGGAACACATCTATAATTCCATTCATTGATTTGGTAGACTTGAGGCAGGAGAATAAAAGTTTAACAACTTAGTGAGAATCTCAGCAACTTAGCAAGACCTTGTCTCAAAATAAAAAGTAAAAGCCAAAAAGGACTGGGAATGTCGCTCAGTGCCCTTTGGATTCAATCACCAGTATGAAAGAAAGAAAGAAGGCCTGGGGTTGTGGCTCAGAGGCAGAGTGCTTGCCTAGCATGTGAGAGGCACTGGGTTCGATCCTCAGCACCACATAAAAATAAAGGGGGCTGGGGTTGTGGCTAAGTGGTAGAGCACTTGCCTAGCACACATGAGGCACTGGGTTCAATCCTCAGCACCACATAAAAGTAAAATAAAGGAATTGTGTCACCTACAGCTAAAAAATATATTAAAAAAATAAAGATATTGTGTCTACCTACAACTAAAAAATATAAAGAAAAGGAAAAAAACCCTACAGGGCTGGGAATATAACTCAGTGGTAGAGAACTTGGCCTATCATTCATGAGGTCCTGGATTTGGTCCTCGGCACCAAAAGGATGGAAGGATGGGAGGGAAGGAAAAAAGGGAAAGGAAGGAAGAAAAAAGGGTGTGAGGGAGGAAGGAAGGAAGGAAGGAAATCTACAATAGCTAGTGCTGAGGCATTTCTGGAAAGATCAAAGTCCTGTTAGCTCCCTCCTATAATTCCCATCCTTTTCAGAGGACAATGATCTCTAGGGTACTCTTGGAATTGGTAGTCATTATTTTGGCACTTCTCTCCTATGGTTGCCATCTTTCAAACCAGATGAAGTAATTAGTGCTTCTTGTTTCCTAATAGAAGCCTCAGCTATCAGACTTCATGTGAAAGATGGCTAATGCAGAAGTGAGTGTCCCAGTGGGAGATGTGGTTGTGGTACCCACTGAAGGAAATGAAGGGGAGAACCCTGAAGACACTAAGACCCAAGTGATCTTGCAGTTACAACCTGTGCAACAAGGGTAAGTGGCTAGAAATTTGGTATTCTGAAAATTTGGGGGAGGTTTAAAGGGTGGGAAAATTGTAACTTTATAGTTGTTTAGCCCAATGGACATTCAACATCAATCAGCTGGCTGAGTTTTCATAGTGATATGTATTGTGGTTTTTTTTTTTTTTTTTGTGCTAGGGATTGAACCTAAGGCCTCCTACATACAAGGCAAGCACTCTACCCGCTGATCTATATTCCCAGGCCCTATATTTGTCTTTTGTTGTTGCTGCTGGATATTGAACCTAGTACCTTGCATTTGACTGAGCTATTTCCCTAGTCCCTGTATTTGTCATTTTAATATTATTATAACAGTTATCTATTTCCTTGTCTCCCTCTTTCCTCTCTGCTGAGTGATTTATTAGGATAAGTTATAGGGATCCCTCATCTTATATAGTAATAGTCTTTTTTTTTTTTTTTGCTTTTTTTTGTACTAGAGATTGAACCTAGGGCCTCATGCATACTAGGCAAGTGCTCTATCACTGAGCTATATTTATTCCAAGCACTCCTACCCTGCCCCCAGACAGGGTCTTACTAGGATGCCTTGAATTTGAGATCCTCCTGCCTCAGCCTTCGGTGTCACTGGATTACAGGCATGTGCCACTGCGCTTTGCACTGTCTACACAACTTTTTTTTTTCTTTTTGTTACTGGGGATTGAGCTCAAGGGCACTCGATGACTGAGCCACATCCTATGTTATTTAGAGACAGGGTCTCGCTGAGTTGCTTAGCACCTTGCTGTTGCTGAGGTTGGCTTTGAATTTGTGATCCTCCTGTCTTAGCCTCCCAACCTGGTGGGATTATAGGGGTGTGCCATTGTGCCCACCTCAAAAGAGGTCTTAATGGAAAATAAGAATTAGATCTGCACAGAGAAGGAGGGGTAATTCTTCTGTCTTGGAGAATGTATAGAAGATCCTTCATGGGATTAGCAGTGTTCCTGGGCAAATAATACAGTCCTAATCTTTTTTTTTTTTTTTTTAATTGCCCCTCCTGCATCATACAGGTTTCTGCCAATCCTGTTCTAATCTAAGTAATGTACCTTGTCTTAAATATTTCAAATTTCAAATGTATAGGTTCATTGGTATACCTTTGTGATCCCAATGATGAAGGAGGCTGAGGTAGGAGGTGGTCAAGTTCAAGGCCAGCCTGGGCAATTTAGCATGACTATCCCAAAATAAAACATATAAAAAGGGATAGGGTTATAGCTCAGTGGTAGAGTGTTCTTGGGTTTAATCCCTGGTACTGCAAAACAAAAAAAGAAAAAAAAGTTCAAATATATACACCAATAAAGAAAACATTATAATGAACCCCCCAGCTTCATCAATACATGGTTGACTATTTCATGTCTTTATCATCCCACTTTTTTTTTTTTTTTTTTTTTGGCACAAGGGACTGTACCCAGTGAGCTACATTCCCATCCCTTTTTTATATTTTATTTAGAGACAGGGTCTTTCTAAGTTGCTGGGGGTGGCTTTGAACTCATGATCCTCCTGCCTCAGCTTCCTGAACTGGGATTATAGGCGTGTGCCACTGTGTCCTGCTCTTTATTTTTTTTTAAAGTAAATCTAGATATTTGAATGTATCTTAAAAAAAGAAGGATTTTTTTTTTTTTACTTTGGCAATACTGGGTATTGAATCCAGGGGTGCTTTACCCATAAGCTACATCCCCAGTCCTTTCTATTTTTAATTTTGCCAGAGGGTCTTGCTGAGTTACCTAGGCCGGCCTTTAATTTGTGATTCTCCTGCCTCAATTACAGACTTGCACCACCATACCCCACTTCTTGGCAGTTTTTTTTTTTTTTTTAAGAGAGAGAATTTTATTTTTATTTATTTATTTTTATTATTATTTTTTTAATATTTATTTTTCAGTTTTCGGCGGATACAACATCTTTATTTGTATGTGGCGCTGAGGATTGAACCCAGGCCGCACGCATGCCAGGCGAGCGCGCTACCGCTAGAGCCACATCCCCAGCCCGAGAGAGAGAATTTTAATATTTATTTTTTAGTTTTCGGCGGACACAACATCTTTGTTTGTATGTGGTGCTGAGGATCGAACCCTGGGCGCATGCATGCCAGGCGAGCTCGCTACCACTTGAGCCACATCCCCAGCCCCTTGGCGGCTTTATTGTCTCATGCAGTCCTCATTTCTTCTATCTTTCTTAGAAAGTGTTCCAGTAGTCACTTGTCCTATCCTTATTAGAGACAGAAAAAAAAAAAATCTATGCTATTAGTCTTAGTTTTTCCTTTTTCTTCTTTTTTTGTGGTACTGGGAATTAAACATAGGGCCTTGCTTATGATAGGCAAGCACTATACCATTGAACTGCATCCCCTACCATTTTCATGTTTTTATTTCGAGAGGCTTTTGCTAAATTGCCCAGGCTGGCTTGGAACTTGTGATCCTCCTGCCTTAGTGCCTCCTAAATTGCGGGGATTATAGGCAATGCACCATGGTGCCTGGCTCATTTTTTTTTTTTTTAATTTAGTTGAATTCTATTTTTTATTTTCCTAATGATATTGCCTTTTCTGGAAATTCCATGTTTCTAGATATGGGCTTTTTTTTTTTTTGGTACTGGTGCTGGGAATTAAACCTAGGACCTTGTGCATGCAAGACAAGTACTCTACCAACTGAGCTATATTCCCCAGCCCCTGGGCATCTTTTTTCTTGGCATTTTTTGTTGTTTCTTTTTTTCATTATTTTTTTTTATTTATTTTTTCACCTTATTGATTTTAGATATAGTCATCTTTGTACAACATATATTTACTCCTTAAGCCACTGTTTACATTGAGCTTAGTATATGGGCTAGCTAGTAAACATTTTGAGATACTACATTTTGACATGCCTATAACTGATGATATTCAGTTGATTTCTCTACTTGTATTTTCTAATTATTTGAATTTTTTTTGAGAGAGAGAGAGAGAGAATATTTATTTTTTTAGTTTTCGGCAGACACAACATCTTTGTATGTGGTGCTGAGGATCGAACCCGGGCAGCAAGCATGCCAGGCGAGCGTGCTACTGCTTGAGCTTCATCCCAGCCCCTTATTTGAATATTTTATTGCATTTTAATCTTAGTTTTAAGAAATGAAAGGGGAGCTTGGCAGTAGTGCATGCCTCTAATCCTAGCAACTCAGGAATCTGAGACAGGAGGATTGTATGTCCAAGACTGATCTCAGCAACTTAGTGAGACCTGTCTCAAAATAAAAAATAAAAGGACTAAGGGCTGGGTGCCATGCTACACACCTGTAATCTCAGCGGCTCGGAGGCTGAGGCAGGAGGATCGAGATTTCAAAGCCAGCCCCAGCAAAAGTGAGGTGCTAAGCAACTCAGTGAGACCCTGTCCCTAAATAAAATACAAAATAGGACTGGGGATGTGACTCAGTGGTCAAATACCCCTCAGTTGAATCCCCAGTAACCCCTCCCCAAAAAGGACTAGGGTATAGTTCAGTTGTAGAGCACCCATGGAGTTTAATCCCCAGTACGGCAAAAAAAAAAAAAGGGGGGTGGGGGTTTAAAAATATTGATACCAGTAGTGAGATGTAAAGAACTCATATGACATGAGATAAAGATGGATAGCATCAGGAGCCAGTGTTAAGCCACAATCACATTTAACCTGATTGGCCATGGGTTTATGTAGGAAGGAAAGAAATACTCAAGAATGTGTATAAGACTCTGGGAATATATTGGTGAAGATTATGTGTAAAGACAAAATAATAACAGATTTTATATAAATATTTTTAGATTTCAATATATAGAACTCCCCTTATGTTAATTTAGCTTTTAAAAAAATATGTATATATGTATACACATATATTTATGTACATATATGTATATATATTAGTTGTAGATGGACACAGTACATTTACTTTATTTATTTTTATATGGTGCTGAGGATCGAACCTAGTGCCTCATACATGCTAGGCAAGTGCTCCTCCACTGAGCTATAGCCCTAGCCCTCTATTTAGCTTTTAAATATATGACATTTTAAACTTTTTCAGGTAGTCATTGTATACATATTTGCAGAAATGCATTAATTAGCAAAAGTAGACTATTTCGTAGCAGTCTCCATATATGCATAGAACCTGACACATTATATAAGATGATACTTTCATATTAACAGTAGGTTGGCTTTAAAGTATATACACTTTTTAAATTTAATTTAATTTAATTTTTTTGGTACTAGAGATTGAAGACAGGGGAACTTTACCACTGGGCCACATCCCCAGCCCTATTTTATGTTTTATTTAGAGACAGGGTCTCACTGAGTTGCTTAGCGCCTCCCTAAATTTCCAGGCTGGCTTTGAACTCTCCTTCCTCCTGCCTAAGCCTCCCTAGTTGCTGGGATCACAAGTGGGCGCCACCACCTAGTGGTAGTTAACTTTTTCAACTAAAATCTCTTTTATAACATACTCAAAAAGTTTCCAGGGGAAGTTAAAGTACCAGGATTTTATCACCATTTTTGAATTTCCAGTTCACTTTGGATTGATTATTGAGTTTTAAACATTATGTGATTAGAGTTTTTTTTTGTGTGTGTGTGGAACTAGGGATTAAATCTAGAAGTGCTTTACCACTAAACTATATTCCTAGTCCTTTTTATTTTGAGACTGGATCTCACTAAATTGCTGAGGGTTTCTCTAAGTTCCCCAGGCTGACCTTGAACTTTTGATCTTCCTGCCTCCATCTCCTGAGTCCCTGGGATTAAAGGCATGAGCTACCATGCCCCAGGGAATCAGAGTTTTAATATTCCATAAATTTATTCAATGTACTGAGTGACTTTAATTTTTTCTGTAGAAGAAATTCAGTCCAAATGTGGTAGGATAGTTCAATTTGAGGAGGAGCAGCCCTGTTTTTCCTTTCATGCTGTATCTCTTTCTAGTAGGAAGTTTAGGGTCACAGACTGAGTGGGTAGCTCAGTGGAAGAGCATTTGCCTAGCATGTACAGGACCCTGGGTGTAATCCCTAGCACAATAAACAAACAAGCAAATAAATAAAAGCAAATAAATAAATATTTTTGAAAGTTTAAAGTCAAAGAAGATGTATTAATTCTATCAGAACAATAGAGTACCCCTTAGTTTTTGAGATAGGACCTCACTGAGTTGTTGAGGGTCTCATAAATTGCTGAGGCTGGCCTTCAACTTGTGTTCCTCCTGCCTCAGCCTTCCAAATTGCTGAGATTATAGGCATGGGCCACTGCATCTGGCCTATTTATTTGTTTGTTTTTATTTATTTTTTCAGCGTTGGGGATCAAGACTAGGGCCTCAAACATGCTAGGCAAATGGTCTATGTCTGATCTGCATACCCATCCCATATTGAGATGGGTGTTTAAGAGTTTTCTAACTTAAAAAAGTAAAGTTCTTTTTCTTTTTCTCTTTGTTTTCTTTTCTTCCTCATACCAAGGATTTGAGGCTTTATTTTTATTTATTTATTTATTTATTTTTGGCGCTGGGGATTGAACTCAGGGGCACTCGATCACTGAGCCACATCCCCAGCCCTATTTTGTATTTTTTATTTAGAAGCAGGGTCTCACTGAGATGCTTTGTGCCTTGCCCTTGCTGAGGCTGGCTTGAACTCCCAATCCTCCTGTCTCAGCCTCCCAAGCCACTGGGATTACAGTCATGTGCCACTGCACCTGGCTGAGGCTTTTTTTAATAGTGCAGAGAGTTGTTTTTGTTTGTTTTCTTTTCTTTTCTTTTTTGATACTGGGGATTTAACTCAGGGATATTCTACCATTGAACTACATCCCTAGCCTTTATTATTTTTTGTTTTGAGATAGGGTTTCCCTAAGTTGCTTGTGGCCTCATTAAGTTTCTGAGGCTGGCCTCAAACTTTAGATCCTCCTGTCTCAACCTCCCGAATTTCTGGGATTATAGGCATGTGCCACCATGCCCAGCTTGGAAGTTATTTTAGACATAATAAATTCAACAAAATCCTGTGGGAGATCCAAATGTATGTATTTACTTAGCAGTTATCTGTTTCCTGGTTTGAAATTCAAAAGGGAAGTCTGTACTATAGGTGTCACCATGGAGTTGGATAGTCATCTATGTAAAGATTACTCAGGCAGGGCTGGGGTTGTAGCTCAGTAGTAAAGTGCATGGCTTATGCATGAGGCACTGGGTTCCATCCTCAGCACCACATAAAAATAAATAAATAAAATAGAGATATTATGTCTATCTACAACTAAATAAATATTTTAAAAATAAATAAATAAATAAACAAAGATTACTCAGGCAGTGCTTTCAAATAACAAAGTGTAAGAATTAATGCATCAGGTTTATTTTTTTTTTTAATTTTTTTTTGAGAGAGAGAGAATTTTTTATTTTTATTTTTTAAAGATAGAG